TTTCTATTAATCTGTCGATATAAATGGAAACTACAATTCTAATGTGCAGCTGCTTGATTTTTCCTCTAGATTAGGTTTCAGCCCTAATCTTTGTCTGTGTCTGCCAAAGGGTGTCAGCTCCTCTGTTTATCTCTCTCTCTCATTCTCACTTCCACTAGCGTCGAGTAGTTTATGGTACCTTGTTAAATGCTATGGTTGACTAAAAAGAGAGGCAAAGAAGAAAACATTAGACTATGGCTATAAATTAAATAAGAACATCTGAAAGAGCAAATTAAGTTAAACTAGAGAGGGTTTGATTTATGTGAGTGGACATGGAGAGAAGATCACCATGTATGGGAACACCGAGGCACAGACAGCTATGAAGACTAAAGCAACTAAGTGAACATCTGGCTGCCAAACTCAGATTCCAGAGTTTTGTCAGTAAGCAGACTCAGTGCAATACTTATGGAAATGCTAACTGCCTTGAGTATCTAGAAAGGGTATATACTGTAGTTATATCAGCTAATTTAGGCTTATTTCTATGTCATTCACTTTTTCAGTATGAAAAAAGGAAGCGAGAGAGAGAATGTCTTAAGACAAACTAAGATTACAGTCACTTCAGCTCTGTTTGGAAACCTTGTGCTCTCGTGCAGTAAGGACACAAGGACAGTTCTTCCTCCAGGCCATCACTTTGATGAACACTTGACCCACGACAGTATGACTGGACAATAACCCTCAGTGCAACATCTGAAAATATATATTGTACAGATTATACAGATTCACACGTCTCTATTTTTAGGTACTCCATTTTTAGTCCTATTATCTCTTTTCAATGAGCATTCCTCAGTCTGTCTGCATTGTTTACTGCCTGTTTATGCTGCTTATTTTGTTATATTACACAGCCTTATGCTGGTTTACTGTTTACTTGCCCCTTGCATGGGGATATGTGCATGTGCATTGAGAGCCACTGTACCAGAGTCAAATTCCTTGTGTGTCTGACACACCTGGCCAAAAAGCTGATTCTCATTCTGATTCTAAATAAATATACTTCATCACTTTAACTGTGCTTCATGAAAACATTAAACTACTACAGACAGAAATAATCTGCTGTACAGTGCTTTGACATTTGGACAGGACATCTCAAAGGCAGCCGTGAATATTAAAAGTTGCACTGGTCAGGATTTTTATATTACCAGTGGGTCCAATAACTACTGTGTGTTTCATGTAGTGACAAATCAGCAGCAAGTTATCACCCAGCTCTGCAGTTCCCTCCAGTTCTTCAATGCTTTAGCATCTTTCAGCTCATTGTTTGGTTTTACAGCTCCGACTTAATTGTTTTGGTTCACCCTCGCTGCTTTAATAAAACTTGTTTCCAGCAACAGCAGGCAGCTAAGCTGTGATAAAGTACACTAAACTGTATGCTATCTGCCTTGCCAAGCAGCAGAAAGATGAAGTTAGTGACTAACTGGCAAACTAGAGGAGGATTTATAATCATATTTGCCTCAGAAGTTGATAGAGATCGAAACAGGGCAGTATTAATAAAAAGCTGTTCACCGCTTGTTTTGCAAAGCAATGACCCAATTGCCAAAGGTGTCAACAAAAAGAAACATACAGGTAAGTTTTCACCATGGTGCTCAGTGGAAATGGTGTTTAATCCTGCTGACATCAGATACACCAGTGATCACAGACAATGGTCACTTTACTTAAGACAAAACATCTGGTCTTCATCAGTTTCCTGTCATTGAGTACAGTCTTCCTCGCAGAGGAGCATCACACTCCTCATTAGCAAAATTAGATGACACAAAAAAATTGCACAAAGATGAGGAGGGCACATTTCAGAGATGTAACTTTTAAATTGCGACACTTAATGATCAGCGGTTGTATTTGTAAAAGGTTATAGGGTAGAAAGTTTTTAAATTCTGTCCTATAACTTCAAAAGCCTGGCTTTAAAAAGAAAAACATCCTCTCATCCTCAGTGACTGCTTTGCCTGACATTTGGGACTTGTTATCTCAATTTTTCCACTCCACTCGTCAGTACCCGGCAGTGCTGAGTGAGGCCATTTCATTTCCAACCATCAGCACAAGTTATCTTGAAACCACGCTGAAGGAAGCTGATTTAAAGCAATGAAGTCATTCACACACGTATGGAGATGACAAGTCACAGAGAAGAAGAAAGATGTCTGAATAGGATTTAACTGGACTTTTAGAAGCTTTTGAGTAGAATTTAGTGTACTAACTGTATAAGTATAAGGTACCTATACACAGAATATGTTTAGATTTAAATCAACGCATGCAAATTCTCTCATTCCTAAAAGACACTGATGAAATTAATGTGGTGAGAAATTTCAATAAGGAAAGTAACTTTTTTTTCTCTGCTAGCTCAAAGCCTACCTACAAGAACATAGTAAGTGTTGATTATATGGAAGAAAACAATTAAAGGCTGAGATAGATGTGATTTTGGTAACTGTTGTATAACTACTGAAAGTGAACTTGCTCCAGAAAATGCAGAAATGCTACTGTAATGGGTGCTATGAAATAACTGAGTGCAACTTGTGATTTGTGAATACTCGGGCTAAAGGTTGTCAACCAGCAAGAAACCAGTGTTTTCCTGCTTTTTCATACACTGTGTGATAGAACCATGGTGATCTGTGGCTTAATATGAAGCTTCAACAGATGGCTTTAGTATTGTTATATGAGTAATACAAGGTGTCACTACATGCCAACACATGTATTGTAGGTACAAGGGAACAAGATATAAAGTGAGGGAATAAGGGTGAATGAAACAGCAGTTATTACTGTGACAGACACAGACACTAATTTAGGCCGCTGCTGACAACCAAGCACCTCAGCTCGGTCCGGTGTCCTGCTATATTGATCCACCAGCAGTTGTGGACATTAACAGAAGGATCAAATTATCATTTGCCCACTGCAGTAAACTACAACAAACACTGCTCCACCTGGTGGATGTGTACAACACTGCAGGTGACTTGTACACAGTGCTTAGGGCAACAAGGCAGTGCTGCGATTGCAGGGGATACATGGTAAGAGCAGGGGTCATGCACAGGCTCGTCATGGATCAGGCATGGTCCCAGCATGGTCAGGCTGCAGACCATAATCTAAAGTATTGGTCACAAATGTTCAGTACATACACTGATATAAACAACAGAAATATGCCTATTTTTATTTACATTAAAGCACTGACAGACACCACGGAGATATATAGAGGAGTGCATGTAAAAATAAATGCATTCTACCAAAATTATCAGTACTGTAACCACTGAGAGGTAAATCAAGATACAGTATTTGCCACAATGAAGCTTCTGTACATCTTATCCACTTCAATCTTTCCTTTTCTGATTTGTGACTGCTCAGTGTTTCCTGGAGAGGTTTTGCAGTATGTTGTGCCTTTACTCACTTTTCCCTGTAACAAGGCGGACACAATATTTACAGAGTTTAGAAGTTGCCAAAATGAAGCCATGTGCTGACAACCCTCTTTCTTTACTTATGTTTGTCAGCCAGCATTTTGACTCACCAAATCTCTATATAATGAAAGAGTATATGGTTTGTTTTTCCAACTGTAAAAACATAAAGCGAGCAATAAGTTAGAAATGTACCTTTTAATGTTTTACATGAGAGCTCACCAGCTGTTAGTTCAACATTTTGGGGAAATGTGCTTATTTGCTTTGTTTCTGAGTGAGATGAGTAATTTAGGACATGGTTAGCTTAGCTTAGCATAAATATTAGACAGAGAGAAACAGCTGTAGCCTTGCTCTGTCCAGGGTTCAACAATACACCCTCTAGCCCCTCTAAAGATGTCTTATTTACACAGTGTACCTTTTTATTTAACCCATACATAAACAGAAAAATTTGTTTCAAGGTAAACAGTGCATCAACAGCGTTTTGAGCCAGTCTTGACTCAGAATATAAACCAAAAATTGGTGAGCACAGCTCTGTTTTATTACCGTGCTTTTACAAATGGATGAAAACAATAAATAATGGCATGTTTTGGCCATTGGAGCCATTTAAACAGACCTGATATTTCTGTCTCTGGAGAGAAAGACTGACCATTTGCAGAGTTTTCACTACCTATATCATATTATTTTAAAAAGCCACAAGCACCAAAGACAAGTTCTTTTACTAAGATTTGTTAGTTGTTCATTTGCCTGCCTTTCAGCCTTTGAGTTTAATTTTAAAAATTACATGCAGTTTGTCACAGATGAAACAGAGGACTCAAGTGCAAATCAGAGACTTGTTGCACTGTTTATTAAACTTAGGTCAATTTAACTTAGGTAGAGAAAAACCTCTCTGGGTGGTGTGTAAGAATAACAGGGGAGGACAAAAAACTGATTTCTATAGGAAGAACACAACATTATCTGTCAAACCAATCAGGTAAGCAACTATGGAGGTGGCTAAACAAAGCAGATTTCAACGCTGGTGAGGATAACAGATGTGGGACAAAACCAATATGGTGCTACAAAGACAAGATGACAAAGTAAACTCAATCTAAAAACCATGAGTCCAGACTAAGAATGCATTCTCCAAAGCCATGGTTCAGTTCATACATTTGTTTTTTATTGTTGCTGTTTTATGTCTTTTTTGGTTTGGAGGCAAAGTCTGTGTGAGCAGTCTGGTACGCACAAGTTAGAATCACAAAGGCAACTCTGGAAACTCTCTGTAGATGAGTTCAATGGGGAACCTCTAATGAAATTAGTTTCAGAAATTGACAATGAATGTGAAGAGTTGCTTTCTACACTCCCTGGCTAGAACTGTATGCACTTCAATGCAACACTTCCACCTTAATATTTGTGTCTATAAAGCTCAAAATGTTTCCATTTTTGCTAAATGTCATAAATGTATATATTCTACAATATATTTATTATTGAGGACATAGTTAAAGGTGGTGTTGTACTGGACTACATTATATTCAGAGGTGTTCCTAAAATTCTGACCCTCATGTATGGACTAAGATTGTGATACATTTATTAAACCATGCATTCACTTTTCTACTCTGAACTTTTCAGAAAGCTAAAGACCCAGATTGAGAAAGAAGACAGCAAGAGAGAGCTACTGGGGAACCACACCAGCCTGATCGAGTCTCACTGTATTCGATGTCTCCAGCCATTCAAGTTCCTGGTCAACAGCAAGCATCAGTGTCTGGACTGCCAGTTGTACATCTGCAGGTCCTGCAGCCACTACAACTTCAAGGGGTGTGGCTGGGTATGTGATCCCTGTCACATGACTAGGTGGGTAGGAAATGACAAATTAAAGACATGAAACTTGTAGTCATTCAAAACCCAGCACAGTCAGCACCCTGACTGGCAACTGAAAAATGACACCAAAAAATCAATTTCCCTAGTAGCTATCCATTTAAAGTGTCCGTTTTTCGCTCAAAACACAGTTTACTCAAAATGTTTTGGTGTCAAGAGGCAAGGCAGGGGCAAACGAGTGTGACTGCTTCATCAACAGATGGTTGCCACTGGCTCGTTAGCCCAAGGCTCCAACATTCGTTACAAATACAGTCATATAGAACCACTGAAAACTAAAAATCCTTTATTTAAAATAAGGTGGTGAATGAAGTGTATCAATGTGTGGAAAGTGAAGTGAACAAAGAAAAACAATAACAAACCTGGTTCAAATAGTAAACCATATGAAAGGGAGGGATGAGACTAAAATAACTGCCTCCGACTACTTATACTGGAGGAGCAGCCAGCACAGATGACACCCATCATCTTAATACAATTTGTGGTTGGTAGGACCTGATGCAAGCTAAATTAATTCACAGACGAATCACTAAAATGCCAATGATCATTATATATTACAATCATTTGAGACAGATCAACAGTTTGGCAGAGAATTAAACAGAGGAGATAGGGGACAGAGTCAGCATTCCTACAGGAAATCAATGCTGTATTGGACAAGAAGATAGTCACAGAGTCAGTCAGTCTTTTAGGTCATAAGTACAGTCAAGTCTGTCACGTCTCCCCGGCCGGGGTCTCACTCATACGTCCTTCTTCCGCCTGCACACGCACTAAACTACTCTACTCTACACTACTGCAGCAGCATACTGCCTCCTTTTGTACACTGCTCACTTTTGGCTCCCCTGCTAATTCCCGAATCTAGTTAACAGGTCATCTCCAGATCAAGATGACCCAATGGGTTAAACAAAAAGGCCATGAACCCTAAATGTTCTTGCTTCCTCCACAAACTATTTACCCAATGAGCTGACATAGTACAAAGGGCTTGTAGAAATTAGTTATTAACTGACTACTGCATATAGCAACTACATGTAATCTACACACTCTCACTGTATTGTATTACATAATGCATTTCCTGCCAAACGTCTAAAGCCTGCCCACCTAGGACAACCAAACAATAAGTAAAGAAGAAGAAGAAGAAGCTTTATTTATTGTCATTGTAACATTCTGACACGTTCAACAAAATTTTGTTTTGAAGCCGAGGGCCCCGGGCTGCTGCATGCATATATGCCACCATCAAGTAAAGAGAGCTGTCACAATACTAAAGAAAAACAGAAACCAAGCTGTGTGTGAACTGAAAAAAATGGGACTGATTTCAAGGATGTTCCTAGTTTTAAGAGAACTCTTTTGGAGAACTTCGACATAATCATCTCAGTTTGTTAGAAGCTTTGCTTTAAACCACCCATGGAAAACCTGAAACAGCACAGCAATATGAATGATCTATGAAAATATATATTCTTCTTTATTATTTATCATATTAATGTCACTTGTTTTGTCCCTGTTAGGATTCTGAATGAATAGCCACTCAGTTTTTCTAGTGATCTGTTCTTATCCAGTAAGTGGTTTTGTTTGGCACCAAAAATGTCTGTGCCAGTGTTGGAAATCTGCCCATGCTGGCACACAGCAGGGTAACATATAAACAAGTTGTCATTCCTTTCCTTTTATGACGCTAAATTGTTTGTTCTTTCAGTAGTTAACTACACAAAAATAGTTGTTCTACTTGAATCACTATCTGTATGCAAATATGAATGTAAGTGAACTACCAGCAAGCTACTGCAAAATGTACTGTAGTTAAACTACTACTTCAATTATATGTAGTTCACTACTCCCAAACACTGGTCTGGCTGTTGACGGGTTCTGATTTGATCCTGTGAACTAACCTGGAGCAGGTTAACCATGTAGCATAAGTTACCATGGTGATGGAGCCCAATTAAAACTGAGCCAGCTTTGTGGGACCAGAAACCCTGAGCTGACGCCAGAGATATTTGAATAAGTTTGATGTTACATACTTTTCCTGATTTGGGGTTGTAGATTGAACACGTCTGTGCTCTCCAGTTCATGACAGTCAGTATGATGAAAACTGACTGCAAAGTCAAAGAATCATTGGAGCTATGCTTTGAAGTTACACTATAGTGTGAGTGGCAGATAAATACAGCACAATTCATGTTTTTCAGCAGCTTGTGGTAAAATACTTTGGTTTAACTTGGGGTGTCTCAATATTTGTTGCAGTGCAGATGTAAGAAGGTGTTGCTGAAGTAGTTTTAACATACTCAGTCTGGGAAGCATAAATAACAAATACAAGCCATTAATAACTAATAAAGAATTCCTTGCTTTCTTTACTTTACACTATTTATCTTGACTAGAACAACACAATCTGTGAGCACTTGGAAAGACTGCACAAACACACGTCGACAGCACCTGCAAAGCATTTGATAAATGTTTTGTTCTCCTCTACTGCTCAGGTGCTTTTGGTTTCAGCAGCAGATTGTAATACTGTACATTTTGTTCCAGCTCCATATGTAGTCATCATACTATTGTTGGCTCAGATGAGACTAAAGAGCCCTTTCACCAAACTCAGCCAGCATCTGGAACATATGCTGTGCATCTCTTGCTAAACTCTCATGTCAACAGTTCGCACAAGAAGTACACAGTATTGTTTTGTGTGATATAAGAAGCATAATCAGTCTTTGCTGACTGCATATGTATGTTTTCTGTAAACTAACTGAATGTAGTTTGTGTCTAAATCCATCAGTGTGTTTTCTTTTCCTTGAACAGGGTCCTCAAGATCTGCACTTTGGAGTGGTATCATGAAAAAGTCCATGCCCGTTTCAAGCGCTTCGGCAGTGCCAAGGTGATGCGATCACTTTACAGGAGGCTAAAAGGACAACACAGTGGCTTTGAGCATGACCTTGGAGGTGAGTAGTCCAGTTTGTATTCAGTGGGTGGTTTTGTGTTTTGTGACTTATTATTACAATGGTTTTTGGAAACTTCTTTTAATCCTTGATCTACTCTCTGTGGTAAGTGAATAAAACTTCCCCTTTATTTACCAAATATTTGGTATGTGGCCTTTCAGCAAAGACTTTAAGCCCCACCAGCTGATTGAAGCTGCTCAGAGGCCAGAAGTCGATTACTGCCTATTCTGTGCAGCTGTGAACGTTGTGAATGTTTGTTAGGCAGAGCAAATCAATGGCTGAACACTTGAATGGCAGGTCTCAGCTCAAGATTACTGTACTTTGAAGGAGCAACTGTAACAGTATTTCTTTCTTTGAGTTTACCATAAGAAATTCCCAATAAATCAGAGGCTTCAAGGAGCTGCATATTGTACTGTAACGGCATGTAACATGTATCTCAGTCTCTGGAATCTCATGTGGGCATCTTTAGATTTGTGAAACATCGTGATGATGACAAGTGCCTCACATATACATGTATATGAACTGTGTCAAGGAACACTGAAGCTGTTCTGGAACAACACTTTACCAAGACAGCCTAGTGTAGATAAGGGAATTGGTGGGGGGGGACTGATGTTTCAGCTGCCTTCTTCAGAGTGATAAGAACCGTACAAATCACATGATGTATAAAGCTTCCAGAAATACACAGCATTTTGTGTCAATAAATAAACATCCTCAGTATTCAGCAAAGTACACACATTTGAAGTGCAGATACCTGTGTGAACAAAGACTCTGGTAAATGCAGAAGTACTGATTCAAAATCTTTATTTGAGAAAAAGTTAAAAAAAAAAAAAAGTGCTCTGAAATGTACTCGAAGTATAAAAGTAAAAAAAAACAGTAGTCCTTCTGTGCAAACCTAACTGAACCTCACGTCATATTAATAGCTATTAAAAGCTATTGCAAAACTAAAGCATTTCAGGTCAAAGTATCTGTACTTTGTTGCTTCCCACCTCTGGTATTCAAAATCTACAGTATGATCACAGCTCATTTGACTCTTGGCTCTGCACATATCGTGAACTGTATAGGGTATATTTCCCACAGAGAACCCATCAGAGCAATGGAACAGAATAGACAGAGCCTCTCTTAGTTTACACTTTAAGAAGAATATTCTAACAAAAAGCTCTGAAAAAGGCATCAGTGCTGAAGCATCAGCTTATGGAATGACGTTTGGTGCATGACTGTCAAAGTGCTCTGTTTCTGTGCTGCTGGCTTTGATTGTTTGCTTGTGAAATACCTGTAAACATCCATCCACCCATTATCTATACAGCTTACCCTGAAGAGGGTCACGGGGGGGCTGGAGCCAATTTCAGCTGACATTGTTTACTTGTCTACTCGTTGCTTTACAGAAGAACGTTGTACCAGAGTCAAATTCCTCTTGTGTCCAACACACCTGGACAATAAAGCTGATTCTGAGTCTGATTAATAAGATACATATTGTTTGTGTTTTCCCTTAATTTGCCACATATCTCTCTATGAGACCCTTCATTTCTGAGACACTGAGTCACCAGAATGACACTTCCTTTCTGGTTTTTAGATAATAAACTGCCATCATGCTGCCAAATTTGTCACGGAGGCTTAGTCTCTTCCATCTTTCCTGTTTTTCTGGCTCTGGCTCCTCACAGCTGTGCTGAGTGCTCTGACAATCTTAGGCCTGGATGTTTAAGGCCAGGTCCTCTGGTGTCAGGTTTTTGTCCTTAACTGCCTTATGGGATATATAAATTGTCTGCTGTCTCTTTAGAGATATTATCAAAGATACTAATGTAGTGAAAAGTCTTGTTTATGATTGCTGCTCATGTTTAAAGTCCTTTGCAGTAGCAGTATAAAGCTTCATCCAAATCTGAAGCTGCTCACACAGAACCACCGGTATCCTACTGTAGGTGTGGTCACTCCCAAAGCGTACACAATGCGATAAAACAAGTGCTCTTGAAGTACACTGTATATCAGCTTTAAGCATTATTATACACAGCAGGTCTACAAATGAGATCATAGGTCAATGAATTACAGAGAGACAGCTGGGACTCAGGGTACTGTTTGTGCTGAGTCACACTTGAGAATTTCAAGGAAGGAAAAAAGAGGAGGCAGTTGGCTGGCTGAGCCCAGGGCGCCCTGTGATCATCCAGTCACATGTCTCCCATTCTGTGCCTGGAAATGAAGGAACTAGTGCTATAGGGCTCCTGCGACCAGAAGCAGAGAGAGAGAGAGACAAACAGAAAGAGGAGGGAGAACCAAACATTTTTCCTCATGTATTTATGTGGAATCCAGCTCACAGAGGGTGCACAGATGCAAGATGTCATTATAAGACATGGTCATAAATATGCATGTTAGCAGTTGCATTATGTTTAAAATGATTAGCAGCTCACCACATGTAGAGATTCATGTGACCATCTGGATTAAATTCAGCATGCATGACTGCACACTCTCACAGTCTTCTGCTGTCTTTTTGCTGTGTGTGTTCTGCTTTGGTCCGTTGGGCCCCCGAAGCTCGGAGGGTGTCATCCTATGTGTACAGCATTTTTCTGCATATGAGGAAATGTAACACTGATGCTTACAACAAAGCTTTTGTTCACATGCTATGTAACTCAGTTAGTTGGCTGTCTCTAACTCTGGCTCCTCGTTTTATTGCTGCTACGGCTGCTGCTTCTCATTATTTTAAGTGAAAAGTAAGGAAAGCCTGAATTCTCTCATTTTGCTGAGCTGTTAATACTTGGCAAAACTGCAGACCTAACCTCCTTCAGTCAGACAGTAATTAAAACAGCCATGTCAGGTTCTAGTATATGTTGCATGAAGTTGTAATTAAACCCAGATAAGTGATGCCTTCTCTCATCTTTGTGTTTTCCAGAATCCTGTGAATATGACACACAGAACATGGCTGAGGTCCACGGTAAGTAAATAAAATGAACATGAGGAAACTTTAAGCAGTGTTGACCGCTAGATATATTTTTTATTTTAATAAACTCATTTTTTCTTTATTCGTAATAGTTTGGTGTTGTTTACCCAATCTAGCCTCAAGTTTCCCAAAAACAAGAGTCTACAGCTCTATAACATGCCAGTGTTTAGCCCTGCAGTTATGTTTACCAGGCTTACCAGCTCAGTTTAGCATGTTAGGCTGTATTCTCACGTGCATCCTGAAGAGAGTCACGGAGGGGCTGGAGCCAATCCCAGCTGACACTGGGCGAGAGGCGGGGTTCACCCTGGACAGGTCGCCAGTCTATCACAGGGCTGACACTTAGAGACAGACAACCACACACACTCCTGGGGGCAATTTAGTCACCAGTCAACCTAAGCTGTATGTCATTGCAGTGTGGAAGGAAGCCAAAGAAACCAGAGAGAGGGGCAGGGAGAACATGCAAACTCCACACAGAAAGGCACTGGGTCAGCCCGGGTTCAAACCTGAACATTCTTGCTGAGAGGCAGCAGTGCTAACCATTCAGACATTTGCCCACCATTTAAAAAAATAAAAAATAAATGTTGCACTGGTGGGGGAGTGTTGCTTCACATACCAGGGAGACAATGAAATATGATCTGGGAAGTGCAGTTGGAGGAACAGATGTATGTGTTAGAAGTCAGAGAATACAGCACAGAACTCTGGAAGATTATTTGTCAACTGTTTCAACTCCTGAAAACAGCAAAATACAGTGTCCACCTTACAAAATAATCCACCAGAAATGTTTTGGCTGGTATATGATTTACCAGTGCAGTAAAAGCTGTGCCAGATTGAACTAGCAGCACAATGCTGCATCACAATGAACTTAAACTTGTATAGTGATTTTTCTTTGCATTGTGGCACACTCAAGGTGCTTTCACACCATCTGCCCATTCACACTCCCAAGCACACACATGCTTACACACCAGCAGTATCACCGAGAGCAACTTGGGATTCAGTGTCTTGCTCGAAGACACTTTGACATGTGGACTAGTGAAGCTGGGAATTAAATCACAAACCTTCTAGCGAGGAGACAACCCGCTCTACCTCCTGATCCACAGCTACCCATGGAGGATCTGGGGGTCACCAATGTCATTAGAATTCACAAAAAATCAATAAATAAAAACATCATGGTATTAGCCCAGTTGTTGAGCTTTTTAGTTTTTGACCAAACTGACTGCCTGACATTGCCATGTCCAGAGCCATGTTGCTAACATGACTAAAAATACTACTTTGGATGCATAACCACCATATTATCCCAGATTTAGTTTAGCTTTTGGCTTTATTTTCTGAAAATATCCATGGGTGACCTGTAACCTTGACTTCAGTAATGTATGTGTAAAGTCCTGGCTACAGACACACAACTGCATTACCAACAGCTCAAAGCAGGCAAGTAGCTTAGGAGGCCTCACAACCCCAAAGGCCTTGTGTATATGTTAGTCTGTTTGTGGTAGTTTGAATAATTGCACATTTATTTGAGAATGTGTATTAAACAACTTTAGACACGCCCTAAAGTATTACCCATTTTTTGCCATTATGGATGGTACTCTTTTAGTGTGTTTTGTGTTCATCTGCATATTTTTTTCTGCAGATTATAGTTTGTGAAAATTAAAATTAATGAATGTTCCCAAATTTAGAAAAGCCCTGCATTAACTGTTGAAATGTGCATGAACCTAAGCTGTTCTGTGGTTCTGCACAAGCAGTCAGCTCAGTCACTTTACTGTATCTGCTGATCTGGGAAACTCATTTGTGAAGTTTATGTTGCTTCATGTTTCCTCTTTCCCCTCTCTCTGTATCCAAGAGGGAATTGCAATCTACTCATAAACACAAAACACACAATGTTCCTTCTTTTGTTTCACTGTGCTGTAGTTTCTCTGCCTGGAGGAAGAAATACAGTTTGTGTCTTGCTGTAAAGACAAAGGTGACTGGGTTAAGAGCTGCAATATTTGAACAAGGTGTAAACATCACTCCTGTTGGTGGACTTCTTTTGCAGAATGTTAATCTTATGTTTGCTCACATGGGAGATTCACAAATGCATAGAAAAATGTCTCATGACTTTACTCGTGTGCCATATGTGTTCATTTTATTGTGCAATAAGTGGCCATTCAGTTATTCTAAGAAGCTTTAGGCTAACGCTGACATGTCTGCCTTTATCACCAGGTGGATATGAGGAGCACAGTGTGGATGCAGTGTGTGATTCGCTACACTACAAAGAGGTATGGTACACAATTTTTATACATTTCTCTGAGAGTTGAAGAACTAATAGTAAATGTGCTTCTTTGCAGAACTTGTTTTCCTATTAAATACCTAATCTTTGCTTTTCTTGTTAAGAATATTAAATAAAGTTGGAGCTTGTAGGCACTGTGCAAGTATTTACATTTTAGTGAGTTTGTGGTCAGCAGATAGCATTCCTGTGATAGCCATCTTAAAACAAGATGCAGATATCAGTTTGTGCTCATACAGCAGAACAGCTCTGGAATCTGTCACTACTAATTTCAGTTGAGACCATGACACTTTCAAACATACAAACAATACCTGATTCGTTTAAGGTCTGTTGATTTATTGCCTGCCCCTAATATGTTTCATGTTTCTTAATTAAAATATTTTTGATTGAGGCAAACCAAAGCTCATCTGCAACACAGATCATTTGTATGCAGGTTTTTTTTTAAAACAACTTGGTGTGTATAAGGCTCCGCTGTGGTCAGCACTGACATTTGTCATGCTGGCAGGTCCTGCTTCTGTTGAAAAGCAGAACTATCTGCGTGATATAGCCCAGCTCTCATGAACAACTGGCGATTAGGCTCAGTCAAACCAGCACTGGCCACCATGTATTTTGAGTAAAAACCAGGCTGTCACACATAATTGCACACATTAAAGAGTGGGAGCCTAGATAAAGAGCTTTTGGCTCAAGTCATGAGATTGTAAAAAGGGGCACAGAGTCTACTGGAATTTGCCATCAAACCAAGACTAGTATAGTTTGAACCACAGTCTGAGTGTAATGTAGGAGCTTTGCTTTGTTTTCAATCAGTGCAGCCCTTGAGTAGAAAAAAATGTTGACAGGGCTCTTAGGTTCTGTGGGGTTTCTGGATGCTGTGTCTTTGTCTCAGAGTGTGACTACCAATTAAGGTCTTATTTATATCTTATGTGACAGATTCTAATGGATGTTATAAAAATGCTCACTACAAGAAGGCCAACTGGTGCATCCTGCAACCTTTGTTTGACTTTCATTTAGACATAGTGCCCTCTACTGGTCCAAATAGAGCACTGCCTTTTGAGCTCATTTTCACCTATCCAAATTACAGTGCAAATACAGGACAGTTTTTGGAGCTGGGTTTTAATGTCTTGACAAATTGCATATCCCTTTTGTCCACATTTTATTTCATTATTATGTTTTATATTGATATATATGTTGACTGATTGGCTGGCAGATTGTCCCAAGCATCTTAGAGACCTTACCACAGTTTTTCTGTGGTTTCTCTGTCTCAGCATCTTCTGTCTCTGCATGTAATCCCAGACTGACACCATCGTGTTGAGATCAGGGTTCTGTGGGGCCAGACCATCTCTGGCAGGACTCCTTGTTCTTCTTTCAACAAAGGCCAGCAATGGAATGGAGTCTGAGCCAAAACAGACGACAAAGTGCTATACAACAGAGCTGGAGTAGCCAGTGAACAATAGAAAAAAAAAAACAGTAACAAGTAACAGAATAAAACACTAAAACATCCTTATAACAGAATATACATAGCATTACACAAAAAGAGGTCTCTTTGGGCAAATAAAAGCAATTTAAACATTGGACGCCTGTTTGAAAAGGTGAGTCTTTAAAACTGATTTAGCACTCAGGGTAAAGAGTTCCAGAGTCTGGAGCCATACACAGCGAAAGAGCAGCGCCCCATTTCTTATGACACGATCGTGGGACCACCAGGGCCAAGTGAGATCTTCACTATATGTGAATATAGTTCTTTATAACTGTGGCTTGTTGTCATGCTACAGAATGAATTTGGAACCAGTCAGTCTCCTTGTTGATGGTATTACTTGATGGATAAGAATCCAAACATCTAAGGTACCTAATTATTTGCATATTAACTTTACTTTCTAAAGCTTTAAATTGTCATAGAAAATAGTGTGTTAATGTTATGCATGTGTTTTACCAGCATACTGTAGAACATACGTCAGTTCTTGCTTCCTGGATAGGAAATGCAGTTAGTTTGAAAAACAATTATCAGGATGATCCAGATGTTTGAAGACTGAGAACAACGCCAGAGCAGTCAGAAGTGCTTTTTCACAACACAACCCAATGGTTCTCAATAAGGTGGCTACATTACTTTTGGGCTGTGGACACAAGACTATATCTATGTGAGAAATCTTGAGCAGCAGAGAGGATTTTTCTTTGGGATCATATCTTTCCTCAACTGTCCTCAGATATACACGTTTCCTTTTCTCCTCCTCTTTACCTTTTTATTCTCTCATCTCTGGTGGTGATGTTTTCTGCTGTTTAAAGATAAAAAAGGTGAAAAGGCGGCTAACTGTCGACCCCTCTGAGTTTGATCTGGGCTGCAACTACTTCATCAAATCAAGCCGACGGTCAAATCAGGTAGAAGCTGGACAACTAACCACAACCTGCTTTTCCCCAAACCAAACAAATTAACACGTATCTATAAGGGGCTTCCTGTCTGTTTCTTCTTAAGCCTATTTCTGTTTTCTTTCTTTGCCAATTGGCAAGACAGTTAGTTTGAGCATTCACATTGTTGTACCCGGTACTTTTTACCATACTGACTCTGAGAGACGAGACAGTCCAAGTAACTACAAAACAGTGCTGATTTATTCCATGAACACAGGCAAAAATTAACATTACACTCTCAGATATCTTGCACCTCCAAACTGCTCGCAGGCAGATGTAAGATGAAAGACCCTGAACCCACCAGGCCTATACATTATATCCCCTCGGTTGGGCTAGCCCCATACTACACAGAAACGTCAACCGAGACGTCTCTGTTACCAGCTTTGCAGCTGGTCATAGCAGTAGTCAAAACATGAAGCAAATCAATGTGTGTGTGTCTGTTGGTTAAGTGGTGTGTAGCTAAAAACATTCTCTGGACACTAACATATCTTGTCAGTTTATTAACTGAATGCTCTGACAACATTTTACCAAACAAAAAGCTGCTTAAAATTATAGCCTGCATTTAAAGCTGGCCTGTCGAGGTGTGGTGTCAAGCATCTGGATTTCACTGATTTGGCCCCATAGATATATGAGAGCTGGGTTCAGTGCCGCCAAGCATTGTTTCTATAGACCAAAATGATTCAAAGAGGTCAATTCTTATTCTTTGTATTATGAACTTTTCATCCATAAAGGTCTTATATTTCTAAAACTCTCTCTGAGCCTAGAATAGTGAGTTTGTTTCTGTGATACTATCATAATGTAAAGTCCAGGGGCAGAGCAGGAGTGTGAGGGTGGGACCAGCAGATAAAACACTTGCACATGTGCAGTGCAGTACAACACAGAAGTAAACCAAAAGCTAGAAAACTCTTTTGGCTCCTGCACCAGACAGTCAATTTTCATTAGCACCATCTTTAAATCAGGGAAAGTACTTCCTATAATGTATCCATGTTCAAAGCCCAGAGTTGCCTGTGGTTTATAGTCAGTGGCATCTTTTCCAGAAGGCTACTGTAGCTTACTGAAAACACCGGCCACACTTCCCTCTTGCTACCCACTTGCTACCCACAAAGTGTTAAGTTAAACCCCACCAAGTGTTTTAAGATACTGGCTAAACGACACTGTTTTGCCATTTAAAACGTTTATGCTGTATTAAAAATAAAGCAATACATTTGACGCTCTGCTATGTTTAGAGAAGTACAGTAGATGTTGCAGTGTTGACAACATTTCAACTAGCATTCATATACAATAAAATAATTGAGCAGTATACCCTTATTCACTGCTGTGCCACCATTTGAACCATCTCAAGCGATTTATACACTGTTCTATAAAACTGATTTATCTATGTTAACTACCGAATAACAATATCTGTTACCATTAATGATTTTACTATAACAAACAAATGAATTTCCTCACTAACCATGTAGGTACTGTAAATGCAATATGCTGATCAGTTTTGAAGGCTTTCTAAAAATCTTAAATTGTTATAATTACTTTATTGAAGCATACATTTATCACTACCCCAGATGTACTGCTTGCACTCACTTCCTTTCATTGATATATTGTTTATGTATGTAGTTTTTTGCTAACCAGAAATGGCATCAGTAGCTAATGTGAGTATTTTGTTACAATGGCGCTCAGTACTCTGCACTCTCACTCCCAGGCCACAGTCTCCCAAGACATCATGGTCAGGGATGTAGGTGTGAGGAGGTCGCTGCTCGCTGAGGCTGATATGGCCTCCACTTTCCAGCAGATTTTGGAAGAGCAACACAAAGACCTGGACCCAGGAATGGCTCCAAATCAAGGTAAAGAAAGGAAGGTCACATATACAGCATCAAGGGTACACAAAGGCAGACATTTTATAGTCAAACCAGTCGATAGTCACTTGTTAGTTATGTGGTAAACTAACATTTGTGTTGTCATTTTTTGGTTAACATAACAAAGGAAATCTGTTGTTTGACGTTGCTACATTATGCCAGTGTTTGTTTAACTAAATTAACTTGACTAGTGGTTAGCTAACAATGCCAGTGTTTGTTTGTTTATATTCTCAGCGATTCTAGGCTACATCCTGTGCTACATCATAGATATATACACACAGAGAATCCACATGAGCCGCTGCTGTACATGACAGCGACGCGTCAGTGTGGCTGCCATGTTGTCGTGTCTCCTAATGCATGTATGTGTATGGGGGCAGGAGGTCCAGCCACAATTAAAATCACCCTAATTTAAGCTGTCTCAGCACATTGGTAACAGTGAAACATTGTAAGATAAGATCACCTTTTACTGTACTTGCGAAATGTTACTGCTCGGCTTTGGCATTTCTTTCTTTAGAACATCCCAAAGCAGCATAGAAGAACAGACGGACTAACTGATGCATATGGTGGTGGTGGAGTGCATGTTTATTCATTGTTGACATTAAGTCCTAAATGTATGAAACCTGCCCATGCGAGCAAATGGCCAGTATCTAGTGGTAGTAAAACCTACTCTACTCTTGGATGATGATGATGATGTACTTGTGTATTTTTAACATTGTGCTCAAAGCCTAAAAATATTAAGATGTTCAGCTACAATCAATGTATAATAACATATTTAATTTAAAATATTCAACTCATATATGGCTGAACCTTTTTAGCTTTTTGTATTGTGTAGCATCTGTTACAAACCTGGTTACTACCCTTATCTTCAATGGCATTTTCACTTTGAAACATGACTGAATTTTGTCTCAACTCTTGATTAAAAAGAAAAAAAAACAGCAATATTGCTCACTTTATTTATCATGCATTCATTCTTTCCTAGATGACCTTGCATACTCAGACAATCAGACTATTCCATCTTGCTTCGCCTCCCAGCTCAGCTACTCCTCATATGGCAGCGGTAGTGTAGGGGGCCACCAGGACAGTAGCAGCTATCTGCCCAGTCCTTGTGACTTAGAAGAGGAGACAGGCCACTGCCAGGCCGACCCACACTTCAAGTCTCATCTGGGCCCCTGCAGCCACACTACTCAGCACAGCCTGGACTCCATGAACTCCACACCACAGGTCATTAACCTGCTTCATATTCATATCCTCAAAACTTTACATTCACTCAGGAAGTGTATTGTGAGACTCATAAATCCAGATTTGATTTATGAGTCTGTAAATCATCAGTTAAGGTTTGTTATTCTGTGGGATGAGAAAACTCATTACTTTTTGCCTTCGCACCTCATTTATTAACACATACAACTACCCAGATACCCCAAACTGAAAAGTTACTTTCATAGATTACAATGTTCAGTCAGTTTGCATAATCCAAGCCCAGTGGTCACAGATACTCTGACAGCATTCAACTTTATTGATGGATATATTGTACAGCTCATCCAGCTTGACACGATGGTTAATAAAAAAGTTTTCCTTTGGCTTAGATTAAACAGAATCGAGTAGTAGCTTGCAAGATTTGTACAGGTGGTATAGATTTAAGATCACTGCAACATAGCAAAAAATGTGTTTGTTAATAGAAGCAAATAAACAAAACTGTTAAAAATTATATATTTAATCTTGCCTGGTTTGGATCATATGAGAAGGGACTAAATTGGTATATGACAGCAATTAACTGTGGTTTGTGAGTCACATTTCTAACAGCTAACAAATGGATTTTCCTTCTGATACTCTAACACACACATCCGCACAAGTTCACCAAGCTGACATGTTGAGTAATGTTGGGGAGACAGCTGCTAGATCAGAAGGAGGTTACATTTATTACATCAGTGTCTATTTATGTGTTAGCATACAACTCAGTCCCTGGAAACGATTACATCTGTTGCTAGTCTGTTCATGATGAGCAGATAAAAACAGACTTTGTTTACCATTTGTTTGGTTTCCTTTGCCCAGGCTACTTTTCTTACAGTTGTGCTCGTCTGTCCTCTGGTTTTGAGTTCATATGTCTTCAGGTTAAGTCGGGCACATTCTGGAAGTTAATGTTTCATTTCTGTCGAACTGAATGAGTAGATTGTAGTTACTAGGAATAAGGAATATAAAATTAAAGGAAGTTATTAATCACAGTGGTGAAACAGTGACAAAGAAGAATGGTGTTATCAGATTCAGTCTTGGCAAATTGGTCTTGCAGCTAGGCAACACACTGGGAGACACAAACAGGACATCGAAGAAAACGTACAGCCTGTCAGACATCAAAAACAGCCGTGACATTTCTCATTGGCTGGGAGTTCCAAGCTTGGTCAGATGTTATTTTCTTTTGGTTTGAGGCTGATTTGGAAAACATTCAAGCCAACAGTTTAACTTGGAAGTCAAATGGTGTGTGCAGTGTGATTATGTTTGTGGAACAAAAGTCAATGAGCACAAACTCAGGACACATGTGGGGCAAAAACGGTGACAAGCAAAGTTAGTTTAATATTGTAAGATTTGATTCTTATGAGCTCTAGTTACTTATAAGTGATTCTTACTTCTCATACCTTTAGTTCCCCTTAGTTACCTTTCATAACTTTATTTTTCCTGTTTATACATTTTACAGATGTATTGATTATTGTCCAGAACTACTGAGCTTTGGTTACTTTCTAATACATTTATTCTCCTTGCTTATATGTCTTACAATTGTAATGAGTGTAGAAAGAAATTCTTGATAAAATGATATAGTGCTATGTTATGTATTTGCAAAATGAACATGCAGGACGCTTAGGTCCTTTCATGAGGTAGAATCTGCTAACCTTCTGCAACTTCTGAAAGTGTCAGGTCCGCTCGGCGCGACCTGCCTCTCTTTCTTTCTTCTTTCCCTCTCCTGCTCTCCCTTTTTGCGGGATCAACGCCTCAGCTGTGTCGCATCGGGTAATTAGTGACTGTTGGCTTCCTTATTTATACCTCTGGCAGACGCCCCGTCGTGGCCGGAGCATTGCGACATGTAATGGACAATACTTACCCTATGTAAGTTACAAATGTTGTGTTTGACCCGCATATTTTTAGATGTGTGTAAGATGCTACGCTGACAGTCTCTGAGCGTTTTGGCTTGACCTTATCACACTAATTATGCGGTTAACAACACAGAAATACGTGCTTTGTCTTCCACGCTGACAGTCTCTGTGCTGTGGATTGGATTGTGTACGTTGGTTCTTTTTGTTCACCTGTTCGTCCACATCCTCTGCTATCCTAGTTCCTGCCATTAGTGTGTATGTGTACCTGTTCGTCCTTATCTCCTAGACATCACTGCCCTTCCCTGGTTGTATGTATTATGGACCCTGTTATGTTGTCATTTTGTTGTTTTTATTCTAATAAACCTCCTTTTTTGTACTGGCACCTGGGTCAGCCATCTTGAGTCCAACCCCAGTTCTCCCTCACCCTCCTGGTGAGGGGGACTAAACCATAACAGAATGTCTGCACCCCCAGGCAACCAGACGGGCCATTTACATTTTAACAGAGCCCTGCTAGCCCGTTTCACGCCCACACCTAGACCCACATAGCATGTCCCAAGTTATGCCTCACCAAGGGGTGTCTTACACACACAGGGGGGCTCACAACCTGAGATGACCACTTGGTCAGTTTAGCATACTTATTGGCATCACACACACACAGGGGGCCTGCAACACAGACAACCCATTGTTCTGTGTGCTTTATTAAGACCAAGCTGCCACCTGAGAGACAGACACACACACACACACACACACACACACATACCTAGACTTTACCACATTCTAACAAGGGGCTCCGGTTCACATCAAATGGACAATAGGATCAAAAAGCTGTTGAATGCTGTCCAAGGCGGAGCAGCCCAAGAAGATAAAATGCATTGTAAAACAGGATTCAGAAGCCAGTTTTTCTGCGGGAGCTCTATCTCTCTGAATCCAGCTAATAAAGACTTTCCTATGATCAGACTTCCAGTAAACTTTGTTGATTTTAAACGGTCCTCTCCTGTCTTCACTTCTCGTGCTTCCAACAAAAGAATTGGGTTAATTTCTAACAATATATAGATGAAAGGCAAAATAAATGAAAATTTGAATAAATGAGTGGAGAAACATTATAAATGTTGATGCTTCCATACAGGGCAAGAGGGCTCCCTGACAGGTTTGACAATAATCATGTCACTACTCCTCTTAGAGCAGAAGGTCACCTCAACAAATGACCAGGTAAATTCATGAAATGTCTCACCACTGCCGACAAACCAACATAAATCATAATCATCTAACTAACTAATATAATCATAATTATCATCAAGCCTCAGGACTGTTGTTATAGAAGGAAGTTTTGAGAATATTAGGATAAGGAGGAGAATGAACCTTTAAGCCAAAAACATTAAAACAACTGGCAAGAACATATGTATTTCCTTTTACAGCACAAGGGAATGTGATTAGTCATTTTCAGCTGGTCAGATCAACTAATAATACAGAGTATGTTAATCTATTCAGACAGTGAGAAATAAAGAGGACATTACAGTGAAGTCTTGTCCCATTCCTTAGACAGCCCTCTGACTGGTATATACTGGTACTTGGCCTTCTCTTCACAGACTATCTGGAATGACTCCTTCCATTTGTGTGCACAGTGCTTGGCTGTAGCTTACATTTAGCTGCTGTTGTGAGTACACAAACACCACTGGATTTGTCATGGTCTGCTTGATGCTTTGTATAACTTCTGCCAAGGATGGCCTGATCTAGGCAGATTTAGACATGTGCCATATTCCTTCCATTCCTGATGATGGATTTAACTGAACTCTGAGGAATGTTCAGTGCCTTGGAAATGTTTTTGTACTCATCCGCTGGCTTATACTTTTTAATTACCCTTTCTCTAAGTTGCTTGGAGTGTTCTTTTTGTCTCCCTGGTGTAATGTAGCCAGGAACACTGACTAACCACTGACTGGACCTTCCAGAGACAGGTGTCTTTATACTACAATCACTTGAGACACATTCACTGCACTCAGGTGTGACAACTAGCACCAGATGGCTGGACCTCTGTTGAATTAGGTCAGTCATTTTAAAGGGGGTGAATATTTATACAAGCACTTATTCCCATTATATATTTTAATTTAATTGACATTACCTTGTAGAAACCTGTTTTCACTTTGACATTAAAGAGGGTTTTTGTAATTTTTTTGTCAAAAAAGCCTAATTATATTGACCATGATTGGTTTATAAAATCAATAAAGTGGTAAAACATCCAATACTTTTTATAGGCACTATCAATAAAGACAAAATGTGACAAAGTGCAGGGGAAACAGACTAAGTGAATGAATCATGACCTACATGAAATGTGTGACTGAAGTATTTACTCTGCTGCAGGAGTGGCAGGTGAAAAAATTCAGATCTGTGTAGTGATCAGGAGACTGCACACACAAAACAAACATGCTTTCTTCTTCTTTTTTTTTTTCACTGAGTGAAGTTTGAGTGGTTCTCTTTTAGCCCAATCACCTTGTTGCACTCTGATCTTCTGCAGTGGTTTTAAAGGCAGAGACTTAGCTGAACCATCAGCTGAACCAGCACCTATGTATGTACTATTCAGATAATATCAATGGAGGAAAAGTGCATGAATTAGCATTTTCTTTTGCTGACTGGATTTAACTGCATATGCTGTGGAGCATTTAGTAGCTAAAGAGAAAGCTGTTTTATCAGAAGTTGGTGGAGACCAAAACTACAACATAAATTAATCAGCTAAACTCATTGCAGGCCTGAGGCTGGCACAGACTCCAAATGAATGTTGTTCTGTCAGTAATATGTTAGTGTTGCGTTCACAGTCTGTTACACTGGCCCAAAGTGGCCAAAAAATAAACTCAGCTTAAAACACCAACTGGCCCAGTGTAGCCAGAAAGTTCAAACTGCTGGAAGCAGAACAGTGTGAAGTTGTGAATGCATGTGATATTTCCTCTAACCTGCTGGTAAAGATAAAATGTGCCCTGTGGTTTTATTAGGTTGTTTAGTTGTTTGGTTTTTACAACACTTTCCTTCCTTCATAATAACTTCTCAGCGATTTATTTGCAGTCATTCATTCTGACAGCAATGAGAGAAACACCGTTACTCATATTCTCATCATGTGGTGCTGGTGTCTCATTTTAACTGGGAAGTGAGCTTCGCCGGTATCCCAAGAAACTGAGCCAAACCACAACAACAGCAAGGTGTAAACTTAAGTTTACTTGGTAATTAGTGGTTATTCTGCTTTAAATGAGGCAAATATTTGATAGACTCATCATTTCCCTCTGTCTTGTGGCAAACCACAGCTTAAATCAATTTACATGTAGCACATGTTTGGCAATTTTTTTTCAGAGCAGAGTCTGTACAAAACAAATCTGTGTTAATGTTCATCTATTAAGTGTAGAATCAGGAGAGGCCATGCAACACCGTGATGTATCAGCCAGCTACAGTACTCTTTTTCCACACCTAATATTTCTGCTTTAGATCACAGGGGTGTGAGTGGCATGGCGGATGAGAAGCCAATCCCAGCATGCACTGAGCAGATAATAAGGCATCACAATTGGTCAAATGCAGCCACTAAGCTCCAGTCCCCTAAGTTACTGTTGCTGTTACTATCAAGCTTGCTGTTCCATGCAGTTTACAAAAAGAGTTGCAAATTTACCACCCAAAAATGTATATTTTTGAAGCACAGTATCTAGAATTTCACACAAATAAACAAAATGCAATCTTCATATTTTGAACAATGACCATTGGTTAAGATTGCTGAAATGTCACTTGTTAAAAAAGTTTTTCAGCTCATTAATCTGGTTGGAATCTCAGACTCTAGTTAACTTTTAAATGTTTCTTTCTGACTCATTTTACACAAGAACTCTGTAAAACGGCCAGGCTACATAATAAAATGTTAAAAGAGTCAACGAAGTCAGAGTGCACTGCAGTTGATGGATAATACATGTATGTAGTTAGCTAATGAGATGCTGCATGGCTTTGGCAGTAGTGTTAAGGCTGTACTGTCGGTAGTGCTGGAAGCTAGTTAGCCATGCATACTAACATTTGTACCTTATGTTAAATCACATAATGCACTTATGCTTGTTTTTTTTTCTTTCACCACTATTGCAAAGGAAATACATTATGGAAATAAGAGCCTCTAAACTTTTTCTGTACCAAACATCTCTCCACTGCAGCTGTGTTTCAAGATGGAGGGCAATCTAAAGCATGATGGGTCTGCCGCACCAAGGATGCTACAATCGGAGATTTGCTGTTTGGTGGATAGGTTTAGTAAACAATTGGCAAGCTCCAATTTTTCAAGTATTCTTGAGATCTCTATTTGATAATTGTCTCTATAAGTTGGGGAGAAAGAGAGATGGTTAGTGACATGCAATGGTCTCCACCAATAATTCTACCAGGGGTGTTGTGATTATACTGACAGTGTCCTAGGCCACCAAGGTCCTCCCTGATCTGTTTGTCTTTGGACTGTGTGAGAAAACTGAGGCACTCTGAACACAAAAACCACAAAAAAGAGAGAAAACACAAACAATGAAACACTGAGAGACAATAACACCTGCTTAATAATAAATTCCCATCAGGTTAACAGTCCAGTCGTTTAAAATCCAAAGTGTAAACCTTTACTAATGGCATACTTAGTTTTCCTTAGACACATGTTCTCTGCTCTTTTCCTTCACCCCAACCAGGCTACTCCAACTCCAAAGAGCACCTCTCCTCTTCCTCAGTGGGAAGAAGAAGAGGACCTAGAAGAGCAGCAACTCAGACAGAAGCTGCACGAGATGACAGAGAAGATTAGTGACCACAGTCTATCCTCCGATGAGGATGAGTTCAACAGGCCACACTCATTGCAAGAGAAGCCAGCACGGAGGAGCCCAGAAGGGAATGCCAAGACTTCTAAACTACCTACCAGACTCCCATCCAGAACAAGCATCGTGGTCTCCACACTTGAGGAGAAGCAACTTCAGCCAACTGACTCTCTAAAGGTAGACATACTGTATCTGTGTCAAAATTATATGTGCAAATCATCAGCAGAGGAATATTACATTCTGTATTCATACAAGCCTTCATTCTTGGATGGACACTTTGTTTATTGCCACAGAGGTGATCAGAAGCACACATGCTGCACATCTGGCTCACTGCACATTCTATGCTTTAAAAAACAGGCTGGCCCATTAAATTCCATACCAACTCTACTGGAATCCATCACATGCTGCAGTCATGAATCAAGTCACTCAGCCATAGCCTTTATTTTTCCCCTGCAAAGATCACTCCCAGATTTTCTGAACAGAGAATGGTGTAGAAAAATAACTAGTACTTGTAGCTGTTGTGCTGTTTCCTGAACTGATTTCACTAGCATATATTTCTTTTCAAAGAAACAAAGCTACAGTGTTCCTTTGACTAATGACATGTTCACTATACAGTGGGTCTGTCCAAAGTGCATAGCCTATCTTAAGTATTTAAATTAGCTCATAACACTTCTAACACGTCTTTTACAAAGAAGCGGGAAAAAAACACACAACTGAAGCAATATTCAAAAAACATCACAGTACAGGACCTAAAATGAAGGTGTGCATCAGTCCTAACTTTAGGGTTTTGATCCTTTAAGTGCTAAAAATGGCACCTAGGTCTGAGAGAAGTTAGAGGCAGTCCAGAGAACTCCAGAGTGGTTATGAATGAGAACCATGTGACCCTATGTGACTTAGTGGCCAAATGGCCTGCATCCACACATGGCTGGATGGAGTAAAACCTTTATTTGAAAACAATCGTGCTCCTCTTGGATACACAGCTTTATTGTGAAAGTTTCTTGCATTGAGTCAAGTTATACTGCTGCTCAGGTTGATGTTTGTTGTAATTAAATGACTGAAATCATTCATTAAAATATCAGTAATTTGAAGTGTTTATATTTCTTGTTTCTTCTATATCTCTCATAATGTAGACAAGCAATTCAACAGAAAGCGTGGAGAGGAATTGGCACCCCCAAGAGGAGGGAGCAGATGCAGGCTTCGCGGGCTCAACAGCCTTACTTGTCGAGCTAGAGGACAAGGTAGCTCAAGCAGCTGCCAACATCCAGAATGCTCAGAGTGAGGTAAAGGAAAGCCAGAAGCTGAATCCTTAGGTGGTATATTATAAATGTGTTGAAAAGTCAGAGTAGTTACATTTGTTTATTCTCAGGTCTCCAACATAGAGGATAGGATTGCTGCTCTGAATGCTGCTGGCATGCCAGCGGATAAAAGGAAAAGGGTAAAGACATCGAATTCCTTTATAAGCTGCCTTTATATTCTTATGACCCAATCTTCTATTACTCTGTCTTTATTCTGAATCTGAATATTGCTATAACTGGTTGCATCATTGTTAATATTCAGTATCATCAATATTACGTTTTATATTTATCATTTATTATTTATACTCCCTCCTCTTATATTTTATTTTATTTTATATGTACCAGACTGCATAGAGTTGAACACACCAATGCTTCACACCCTCACACACACACACACAAATCAAATGTAAAACCCGCTTCATTTCTTTTAAAAAAAAGCCATTTAGTTTATTTCAGTCAAAGTCAGAGCTGTTTAAAATCATTATATGAATATTTTTGCATATATACAACTTTTCCTTTAGTGTAAAATCAAATAATTGGAGTGTAGAGGCAGAGGCATTCTAAGGACAGTTCGATCCTGCTATATAACTTGACTTGGTAGTTTAAATAATGGTTCTGCAGCTTTGCTTTCTTAGATTCAAATCGAGCAATAATAATAATACTAATAGCTTCTGATAAATGTGTCTATGCTCCAAGATGCCAAAAAAAACAATAGGTCATAAATTTTCCAACATTCTTACATTATTTTTTTTTCTTCTATCTTCCCCTTTATCTCCAACTTTGATGTCTTCCAGTCTGCAATCCCAGTCCAAGCAAGAAGAGTTTCCCAGAACTTTCCCACAAGTAAGAACTAGCACTGCTGCCCTTGAGTATGATCCCCAGGGCCTTCCAGCTGACTCAAAACATCATGACCCTGTTAAAGTCAGAGAATATGATGATCAATTTGTGCACAGCTGAACACTGTTTCCCATTGTTCAGTGGCTTTAATCTTTGCAGCTGGATAGCACATTCCCCTATTCTCTATATGTAGAATCTCCACAGGGGCATTGTGCTATAAATGCTAGAATACTTTGACAGAATAGTTGTTATAAATCATTTTTACAATATTAATTTGGAGTCAAGTGCTAACTGTATTAATGTTCCTAACAGTAAGGTTATTGTAATTTCAAAACCCCAAGGTTCCAAATTTGCTTTAGGTGTGTAACTGAATTTCAAAGCAATCTAACTTTTAAGCTGTGCTTTTAAAAAAGAGCCAGTAGAATATGGGATGTACAATGTAGGTGCCGTTTGTCTCCAGGCCAGGTGGACATGTTTGTGAGGAACACCCTCTATAGGGGCTCCCTGACACAGAGGAACCCAGTCGCCAAGCCGAAGACCAAGGCAGCCTGTGCGGTATGACCCCACTCTGTGGTGGTGGGTACAGTGAAGAATTCAGTTCCAAAACTGCACGGTTACCATTTGGAAAAAATATTCATGGCAAAAAAATTAAGTAACGCAAACACAGGCTGTACTCGATGGTCAGTCTTAAAGGCATGTAATGTTAAACTTTAAGTTTAATATTTTGGGATTATGCATATTTGCTCTCTTGCCAAAAGATACTGTACATGAGACAAATGATACCATGTCTGTACATTAAGTGCAGAGATATCGCCAGGAAGCCCATTTCACAAACATTTCAATAAATATTCCTTTACAAATTGATCTAATTTTGGAAATGAACTCTTCATGTGGGTTTTGTCTTCTTTTTCTGCTGGATCACCTGGTGTCTGGTTTCCAGTCAGAGTTCACTGTGGTGGCTTGAAATAACTGATATATTTTTACTTTTGCTTCTTTGTGTTCAGTCAAGGAACTGAGAATGTATGCTCAACATAAAGACTTTCTCCAGTTTATTCACTTCACTTACTCTTTTTTTCTAGTTTGAAGAATTTGTTCATGGTGGAAACTGTTATACATATTAAATTAAGTCTAGGTTGATTTTTTTCATATTCAGTGTCTACCCCCATTTAGCATCTATAAAAGCCACTGGAAACAGCTGGAGATGCTCTTTGTACCTCCTTGCTACACAATTCATTTCTTCAGCTTATAATTACTCACGTTCTCATATGATAATTCAGAAGTCACCTACAAGTTTAACAGAGACTTTATGAACCTGTTGTGCTCTCATTTGTTTTGTCTCTCTTTGTTGCTATATATGAGTTCATGGCTAACGATCAAATAATTAACCCAAAACATGAAATGATTGACCGCCTAATTATTCCTCCAACAGCCAGTGACTGTCTGTTTCTCCTTGCAGAAACCAGTAATGACACAGGGCTCATGAGGAGGAGGCTGAGCATTATGTGACTGTGTAAGTTTTCCTGTGGAATGGGTTAAATTCCACTTGTGGAGTTTACTATTTACATTTGAAGAGTGCCAGCTGGGGTGGAACTGCTTCATGTTTAGTTTAAAAGTCTGTAATTTTGATATTGTTATGTTATTTTGATCATATTTACAGTATATGTTTAAGTTACACATGATATGCACTAAAAATGTGGTGGTATAATTGTGATTTGTAGATTTCCACTAAATTGTTCCATGCACCTTTTTGC